AAAAGCGGGCATCCTTTGGAGAATCGAGTTTGATTGGTTTTTCAGTTGGAAACAGGTCATGATTTTGAGTTCGTGTAGGATTGCAGATGGTTGAACCGAAGGCAGGGAGAACGTACCTGTTCGATGCAGTTTTCGTGTGGAATGCAGATAGTCAGGGAGGGCATTGCCTGTATGTGTGTGACACCTGAAAAGTCAGTTGGTGCTGCACAGCAAGGAGTTCGTTCCGTCATGTCGGGAGGATTTGTCAGAGGCGTTGCTCGAGGTAGTAGAGCGTTGCCTAGAATTTGTAATCCGAGCGTCTGGAGTGGTTTTATCTTTGTCTTCTTGCAGTACGGCCGCTGGAATCATTGGTGATATGGACGGCTATTGGCTTTTGTTTGAGCCGTTGGAATCTTGCGTGATATGATCGGCGTGAGGCGTTGAATTTCTGAGGGGTTTTGATCCGGTGGCCGAGTTTCCCCTTTACTTTTGGTTTGTCGTTGTGTTTCGGTTTTTCGGACGTATTTTCGACGCACTAGAGGTTCTTCACTGGCGTAAAGAACCAGGGAGGGTGTTCGTGCGTAGAAGTAGATAGTCGAAAAGTAGCCGTTACGTAGGACGCAGCTGGGACAACTTGAAGGGTATGTGCTGAGAGGCTTTGGATGATAGTGCGGAGTCCCCGTGTTCTCTCGAGAATTGGGGCCCTCTCCTCCTTCTCCCTCTCTCCTCTCTCATGCGAGCTAATACACACAGTTAAACAGCAGCCCCAAGTCCGCCGGCCCTCAACAGGGCTAGGGCTCACAAACATGCGTGGGGGTCCGAATCCAGATTGCCTCCAAGAGCTAAGGAGAGTTTGGCTCTAGTCACCATCGCCAACTGTCGCAGAGTTCAACCAGCTTCCGGCATGCGAACTGTTTGGGAGTACAAGGGGAAGTCAGGGAACGGTGTAGTGTCGGACTGGCTGTCGGAAGAGACCATGGGACGCAGCTTCACGCCCCTTTAGTTGGATTGCTTCGTTGCTCTCTGGCACTTGTATTTTATCCAGCTGGCAAACGCTTCTGCACCCGACTCAGCCAAGCTCCGTAACCCGTTGTCCCGCACCCAAGCCTTGCACGTTTTCCCGATAGGTTCTACCTTCCAGAAGGAGTTAGCCGGAGGAATCCTACTTCAGGGTCAGGTGCATGACTACCTTTCCCCCTCCTGGCGCGTGCGCTACACTGACGGGAACAGGGGGGAGCTGTTCAGATGCGAACTGGAAAAACTTTCGAGATAGCCTTGGGGGGAGGGATTTCGAGCTAGTGTGATTGCTGGACGATGGGGATGCGTTGGGTTAGTGAGACCGTCTGCGGGTGATCATGGATGCCCGTACAAGATTCGGTCGTATGTATGTACCTTGGATAGTTTTTCACTATTGTTGATAGGAGTCTCTATTGTTTCGTTTTTTTGCATGTTCATTTGATTTTTGAGTGCGCCACCCAGTTGAGGTTCGATATATAAAGCTTGACTGTTCTGAGATCGTACTTGCCAGATTTCCTGGTCTGATTTGCAGTCGAAGGGTGGTCCTGCGTCCGGTAGCACCCACGAGGGTTTGTGTTGTGTGCTAGTCTGGTTTGCAGTCGAAGGGTGGTCATGTGCCCGGTAGCGCCCAAGAGGGTTTGTGCTGTTGTGCCGTAGCATTTGATGGGGTTTGGTGTTGTAGGTGCTTTGCACGATGGGCTTTTTCCAGGGTGGCCAGGTTTTTCCCGCGCTGTAGGTGTCGAGAGCCGGACTGCAACTACAGTGAATTCACCAAGCGAGGGACGGTTTTTTGTTAGAGCATTTTGCGTCCGAGTATCACGTGGTGTTTTCGGTTGTTTAAGTTTAACTTCTAGGGCCCTCGGGATGGGGAGCGAAGGGTTTGTCCCGGAGGCCGGGTTTTCCTTCGCGCAAGTCGATGTCGGGCCGTGGTTCAACGCGCAGTAAGAATTATGAAGAGGAATGGATTGTTTTGTCACTATTCACCTCTTGGCATTTTCGGTTGAACGTTCAGCCCACTCAAAGACATTGCATGGTAGCATTCCAGAAGGAAGTGTGTCACTTTGCGGTTTACACATTTCCTGCTACCGTTTATGAGCATGTGACAGCTGGCAAAGCGCTGTTCATGCTAATGGGGGGATGTTACGGTTACATTGTTACGGTTGATAAAAGTTGCACCTTTGAGAGAGTGCGTTACTCCCAACAGGTACTAGTAGTAAAGTCCGGTTTGCCCGGCCCCGTCTAGAGGCTGGGTTGCTCAGCCCCCCTGCTTCACTTGACTTCTCCATACTTCTTCTCCTTGCTTGCCCTGAGTTAGCAATAATTAACAAGCGAATACCATATCCACGACCGGAGACCTTCTACTCCTTCTCACAAGCCACCTTCGAGGCCCATTACTACAGCTGTTCCGGCTCATCTACCGAACTCGGTACTGATCGAGAGGCTGCCAACATCAGGTCGGTAGCAGTGTTTGTAGGCTGGGGTCCCATGTACATTCCTCTCTGGACAATTCCTCTTGACATCCAGGGTCCTGCCACTTGAATGGCTAGAGACCGCACAGACCCACATAGACATCGGACCAGCCACTATCCCTAGCCTCTCCATCCGTTTTACATTTGTTGAACGCAGATGAAATCAGGAATTTAAATTTGTTAAGGAAGCCATTGGTTACACTGGGAGAGCCATTGCTTTGACACGTACAGGTTACCTTCATATCACGTGCACGTGCCAAAAAGGTCCCACAACGGTTTGTTCGAAAGTCCCTCCCATACATCCGTTGGACGCTGTGGAAAAAGAGGATGCACGACGTGCGTGAAACAAATGTACCGACTCTACCAGCGCTGTGTCACCCCCGATCCGATCGTCACCACCTCACCTAAGGCCCCCGTTAAGCGCATAGTAGCTGGTGATCGCAAAATCACGATTTTTTTGCGGGGTCTACTTGCGCCAGAGTTGCGTAGGCGCCGGCAGTGGTTCTGCGCTTAGCCTGCGTCACCCTGTGAGTGTTTGCGTCCGAGCTCCATAGAAAATTTAAGTTCATAGGCGGCCAACCTCCCCCCGGTTGCCCAAGGCGTTGGCGAATTTGTACCTTGGATAACCTATATACCCCCACAAGTTGTCACAACCCAATAAAATGAACCATGTGCAACCATTGCTCGCAGCAAAGGTTGCCAACACCTTGGACAAGGTGTGAAAACCCACAAGGTCCTACCAACCTATCGGACAGTGGACCTCGCAATACGTTGACCTCGATAAATGGATAGTCTGAATGGGATGAGAAAACCCGCTCAAGACGCAGAACTGGCCCGGGATGGACCTTGGGAGGGTTACTCTGGTGTATGTTGCCCACGGTTGACAATTGTTAACCTCTGAAAAACGGTACACCTTGGCTAACCTATCATTCGAAACACCTTGTGGGACCTTGTCCAAGGGGGGGGGGGATTCACCGCCTGTGTTGCAGCGTGGAACCAACTCGGACGTCTTCGGGCCCCAGCTTGGCCTCCTTGATCTTCAGCACTCGCCTAAGAAAAGCCTCCACCCCCGCCGATTCCCCCGCCTTACGCAGGCACCCACCCAGCTCGTTCAGCGTCACGACCAACATACGATCGCCGGGCCCCAGCGTGGCCTCGCGAATCTCCAGCCCTCGCCTAAACAACGCCTCCGCCTCCGTAAACTTCCCCGCCTCACGCAGACACGGACCCAGCCCGTGCAGCACTACGGAAACCTGCAGGTCGTCAGCCCTCAGCTTGTACACACAGATGTGCACAGCTCGCCTCAACAACGCCTCCGTCTCCGCAAACTTCCCCGCCTCACGCACACACAGAACCAGCTCGTACAGCACCACGGCAACGGCGAAGCCGTCGGGCCCCAGCGTGGTCTCCTTGATCTTCAACGCTCGCCGAAAAAACACCTCCGCCTCCACAATTTTTCTCCCCTCCTTCAAACACAGACCCAGGTCTTTCAGCATAGTCTACAGGCAACCTGGACTTTATCGCCCCCCAAATTGGCCTCCTGGATCTTCAGCGCTTGCCTAAACCAGGCTTCCGCGTCCCCCAGCCGGCCCGCCTTCTGTGCACACTCGCCTAGTTCAACCTTTGCGAAGCCGCCCTGAAAGCTTGTCGCAAGACCACCGCCCACCTGAGCCTTCAAAGCTGTTTGAAACCAGTCCTCGGCGTCATCCAGGTTTCCGGCTGCTCTCGCACAAACTCCGTATATACAGAAGGTCGTAGACATTTGCATGGAACCAGTGCCGTCGATGGGCCGCGTAAGCTGCAAGCCAGTAGCGCCCAACTCACCTCAACGGCACTCAGCTGCTTCCCGCTCGGAATGGCGTCCCAGCCAACCAAGAGCATTTCCGGTATAATATAGAGAGCTATCATCTCCACCTCTGGGCAGCCTCCCCCGTGGGCATCGTAGTGTTCAAGTAGCTTCCGCATGATTGCCTCTAGTTCGCCGAGTTTTTCGCCGTGACAGCATAATTCGGCGAGAACATGAACAGCATGAACCTGCGATGCATCCGAAGCCTCCATCGGTATAAGCTGCTCGTCGTGCGGTCGATAAACCCACCACCCCTCACCCCCCGCCTCCTCCGAAGTCTTCCGCATGTTAAACATCGCGTACGCGTCGACCCTGACCGCTAAGTCCAAACGAGAGACACGGGACGTCCACCTTTCCACGGCTTCCTTGCGCATTCTACCCCAAGCGTTAAGCTCGTCCCTCGCGAATCCCACGTGGGCGTCGTGCATGCGGTACTGGTTTGATACATGCGCTCTGAGAACACCCCACCCCTGAAAGATCGATCGGTCCCGCTACTACCTCTTGGTCGTCCAGAAGCGCAGCTGCGTCTGACTCCTGAAGGAATGGCGATCGGGGAACGCCGCGAGCTTATCGTACAGCTCCTGGGCCAAAGGGTAGTCCCTCGCTAGGTACATGAAGCCCGCGCGCAGAATTGCAAGTCTGTTGGCGTCTCTATCAACGCCAACCCCTCCACCCTGGGCCTCGATTTCTTCCACGGCACGTGTCCACGCCCAGCTGCTCTTTGGTGCGCAGCTGTCAGGAGTACGCACAGAGCTCCAGCTCCCCACAAACGCAATGTCCATCGCCACCCCCCCATAGGTCTCCAGCACTTTCAAGGCGTCGTCACACAAGTCTCCGTCGCGCGGTAGGTTAGCCGCGCCGCGTAGCACGTTGCTCGCATCCGTCGCTCCAAGTTTGTCGACGAAGACCTGTCACAAGATTCGACCAACTCGGGGAACCTGGTTGTAAGGAGCACCCACATAACCGTTTCTCCCAGCTTCTCGACCACTTCTTCCTCCCACACATCATCGGCCACTTCAAGGCACTGCTTCGTCGTTAGTTCCACTATCGTCTTCACATAGCCCTCCCCGGCCTCCCCCGTCTCCGGAGAACGGACGACTTTATCAACTTACTGACCCTCTCGGCCAGCGAGAGCATCAGACGGGGTAAGCGGTCTGCGACACCCTCCCCCTTGCCCACCCGCAGCCATATCACGCCGTCGGAAAAAGCGCGCTCTGATGCGATCCAGGCGAGTACATGCTTGGTTCTCCGTCTCATCAGGGCGAGGACGAATCGGTCCCCGCTCACCCACCATGGAAGCGGCGGCGGTGGTTTTACCCGCCCCGCTCCGTCCCCACTATGAGTACA